TTTATTAATTAAAGTAATAAAATATTAATTAAAAATTTAATTAGTTTTATTAATAAAATGTCAAAAACAATTATCATTATTTATGAATTTTTATTTATATATTATATATATAACAATACACAATACAGTACAACATTATATATGTGTGCAATATTATATTATTTTTAAAAATTATATGAATTTTTATCGCGTTTTACTTAGCATAAGATATAAAATTGATTTCAACATCATCGAGTTATAGATGACGAAAAGATATTATCGTGAATATAATAATCATATAATTTAATATATTTTCCGATAAGATGTTACTATCTTATCGTATCTTTCTTTCTTCTTTTCTTTACAATATTATTTACAATTAACACAGAAATTAATTTTTTTGTTTAAATCATAAAGCTATTATAAAATATCTGCGTAATTAATGATTAATTATATAAAAATACTATTACAAAAATAATTTATCAATGGATATCTATAAAACATAATCTGAAATTCCATTACGCATCATTTGTTGTTGAACAATAACAATGCAATCAATAACTAAATTATCTATGCATATATTCTGAACGCCAAGCCTCCTGTTATCGCTATTCCCTTATCAGACAGAAAACTTGATAAAATGGCATGCCACTATGTGATCACCGAGTTCATATTATGGTATCAATAGCCATTGTCATTTGGTCTAAACAATTTCGTTTGAGTACATTCTAAGATTGCACTTTATGAACTTTCTTATTGAATCAAAGTCATTAATCAACAGAAAACAGCAATTAAGATAAAAGAAGATTAAATTGATGGTATTAAGATTGTCATGAAAAAAATGAAAGAATTGTTTCGAGAATATTATATATGAAATCAATATAATAATTATTTTCGAATAAAATTTTTTATATTTGTTATGAAACAAATTAATATAATAATTATAATTGAAAAAATAAAACTCTTTATATTTTGTGGAAAAACTTTGAAAATAAGTAAATAAGTTAAATTGAAAGAATTAATAAAGTTGTATTTTTAATAATTTATATAATATAGAATAAAAAAGACATTTATTTAAATTATTTTTTTTTTCAATTGTTACATAGTTATAATGTTATATTATGTTATATTATGTTATAAATATATAAAATGCTTAAAATTGTATACATTTAGGTATAGTATATAGTAAGAACTAGCATTGGTATATATTTATATATATAATTATTATATATTATTTTCGTTCATTATTTTTGTCAATTAAATGTTGTTAATACATTAACAAACATTGAGTATAACTAAAGCATAATCCGATTTTAGATTCCAATTCAGTCTCTTAAATACAATCATATTTCTTACTAAGCGCCATTTTAATTCGAAGTCAACTAAAATTCGAGATATGTAGATTAAAATGGGTGGAGCCATTTTCAATTTTTCTGTGCATATATTCTGTCGAGAATTATATTGTTAACACCATTAAATTAAAAAGAGAAACAAAAATAATTTGTATTAAATATTCAGTCGACTGAATAATCGTCAGTTTAACCTCCTAATAAATTATAAGATTTTATCCATATTCAGTAAAATTGAAGAGTAGTTCGTTAACAGCATTTTCTCGAGTGTAAAGTGGACCTCTCGTTGCGAAGAGTGGGTATGGAACGAGTGCGCGCGCGTATTATCGTCATCTTTTTTCTCGACTCTTTTCTCCTCTCTTTTTCTCTTATTTACTCGATCAGTGTGTTCGCGCTCAAGTCCCGGTCGCTGACTACGTGTCCCCCTAGGGCAAACGCCTGTGCGCATGCGCAGCTTTGCGATTATGACGTCATGCACCATGACGCCACAACGCCCGATTGGCGGAGCGCGTCGTAGCCGTCGTTGTGTCGTCGTCGTCGCGTTGTCGAATAGTGGAAGGTAAAGCGGGGCAAGGAAAAGGGAAGGATCGGTGAGGGGGAAGAGAGCGACACCCGTAGCTCCGCTTTACCGCCGCATTCTCGAGCGTTCGTCTCCGTTCGTCTCCTCGTACGGCAAGCAAGCGAGCGAATGCACGTCGTCGTGTCGCGCGCATACCATTATTTCGTGTCTCGTGTTCAACCTAGAATACGGTTTCTCTTGTATACGTATCAACAGCGTACATCTGTGCATCGGTATTAATGACGCTTAGTCGTTAGTCAGTTTTCGATGAACGTTTATTGCTAGAGTAAGTGTGGTAAAAATATCTGGCGTCCGAGTAACGTGTTCTTCTTTTTCTTTGCTCCGCCTTTACGGCGCGTCGCTCACTTCGAGCGCTAGAACGCGTTTGCTAAAATTTCAGTGCTCGATAATTCTCAAACTATTGAACATCATTTTTCGTGGCGTTACAATATAATCCATTGTAATTACGATACAAAGTGGAAAAGAAACGTGGAAGACGTAATGGGAATATATTGAGTGATTTTTCGAGAGTGAAATTGATTTTACGTGGTGTTTATTTTGCGGAGACTAGCACAGTCTCTCATAACAAATATGTTATAAAATCGTTATCGTGTATCCAAAAAGTGCATAAAGGATATACAGGAACAGAATAATAGACGTGAAAAAGTGAATGTGAGTGATACGTTAGTACGTTGTGACAACGACGACGACTCGGCGGAATATTCGTGGACGAAGAAATTGACCAAAATGATGGGGAAGAGAACGCAGTGCTACTTGTGCGATCTGCCTAGAATGCCCTGGGCAATGATCACGGAATTTTCGGAACCCGTGTGCCGTGGTTGTGTAAATTATGAGGGTGCCGACAGAATAGATGCAGTATTGGAATCGGCTAAGCAAATGAAAAAAGCACACGGTTTCCATGAAGCTAGATCTTCTACATCAAAAGCTTATAGAACATCCGGACATACTGAACACAACGGAGGTGCTAATTTGGACGTTCTACCGATACAGAATACTGGTCAAAATCATTCAAGGCATCACAATATTGCTAGTTATTCACAGCTTCATCATCGAAACTCCATTACCGAATTCAACTCAAGTACATCAAGGCAGCAAATCTCTCGGCAACATGAAGAAACTCATGAGATTGCAAATGGCATGAGGAGTAATAACGTGAGAATCCCAAACGCCCACCTAGCAGCAGTGGCGCATCACGTGAATCTTAGCCACAACAGAGGTATCGCACAACTCAAACGAAGTATTTCCACAATCGATGAGGATGAGCATGCTGAGAAAAGACTTTCGTTGGAAGAACAGCATTCAGTAAGGCCACCATTGACCAGAGGTGATTCCTTACCAGCTGTAAGTCTTGCCGTCAGTTATGTACAAGATAGAAGCAAAGAAAAACATCCTGTGAGAGCACCTAGCTTCGAGACCGCCACTTCATTCAAGGCCAATGGTAAGTTATATGCAGATGGCACAATGTGGGTATTTGTATTATGAATAACTTATGAATATTCCACTTTAAATATATTAATTTTTTCATTATTTTTGATTTTAATCTAAAATTATCTATAGATGTTTATATTTATAAAATTATTTTTTCATGTTATCTGTTTATAAGATTATAAGTAAAATATTATCTTGCAAAAAATTAAATAGTTTGGAAGACAATTTAGATATTTTTTCCGATATGAATCATTCTAATATCTTATTATAATATAACTATTATTTATAATTGAAATATATTTTATCATTTTTGTATCGCCTTAACTAAAATATTTTACTTTCTTTCATTTTGAACCAGATGGTTTTCTTTGCACGTTCTTATCGGCTGGTAGTAAAAATAGGAAAACGTTTAGCCGTTCGCGTGGCCATCTGGCACGAGAAAAGAGCTGCGTGCATGAGTTAAAATTCAATCTTTCGCTTCGAGGAATCATCGCACATAGAAGAAAAGAAAGTTACATCTTTCTTCTCTCTTTGCTCATATCACAATCACTCATTGCAGTTCCGAGTGAATGCGTTCCCTCTTTGCTTCTTTCAACCAGTTCCTTCATTCTGGACGAACGGCAGTCGTCCAAACGCGTATAAAGAGACGTACGTTGAGCACGTGATGAGACGACCAAAAGATACACCGAGTTGCCGTGCCGTACCGTGCCGTGACGTCCAATCGAATGACGTCACTCAGTATATTTAGATACAATGAATGAGTTCGTTGTTGCTCAATACAAATCTCATCAAGCATTGTAAATATTTTACAAATGTAATTTCACTACTAGTTCGTAACTAATCAGATAAGCAATCCCTTAAAAAAAAACAGATTACAATATTATAAGATGTTTTTCTTTTTAAACTGTTTCATATTCTGTAGAATGTATGAGTATCTATTATTTATCTATGTATATTTTCAAACAGTACATAAAAAGCATAATTTTTACGAAAATTAATTTTTTTTTTATTAATTGAAATACTATGTTCAATATTACTTCAATACTTAGGAAAACCGGTTCTATTTGTACGCAATATATTTTTTTTCGCGACTGCATCGCAAACGTAACTATAGCGTAGTCTTTTTTTTTTTCTTTCCGTGTCGTAGCTCATTGACGAGACGAGTTGACGATACTCGAGTTGAGATTCGCGTTTGCTGCGCCTGTACATATATGTACAGTACGTATAGTCGAGCTGACCTTGGTCATCGACCGTTATTTCGACACTGGCCACTTTCTAATTCGACCTTAACGCGCGTGTGTTTACGGTTATCGAGTGGTGGTTCGCTGCAATGACTGCGGGTTGGCCATCTGTCCTGCCGTTTCGTTTCTCGCTATAAATATTTCCTGGAAAATTTTGACTGTTTCTCTTCTCAGAATAAAAATTTAGCATCATATTCATCATTCTGAGAAACAATCGTGATTATTGCTTAAATCATGAAAAAATAATGAATATTTCGAATATTTCTTATATTTTTCGTGATGTAATTTTTTATTAGAAAAGTAATGTTCCAATTGTTATCTATTGAAATTTTTTAAATTATGTTAATTATTGCTTTTATTGTATTTATTAATTTTTAGTCAAATTAATAAATATTTACATAAAAATATTTTTAAAAAAATATTTTAGCAAAATTTATATTAAAATAAATAAGTTTTCAATTTTTGTAAAAATAATTCTATCTTTACAATATACGTTTATATTTAAAAAATTTGTAATTTTGAATTTATATTAACCATTTTTTTGAAATCACTTATTTCTTTGAAATATTAATTTTTAATAATAAAATTATTTCTTGCATATAAATGTAAAAAGAAAAAATATTATAAAAATATTCAAGCATATCTGAGTTAAATATTTAATAAAATAATGGAACAGTGTCATTGATTTTATCTAATTTCAATAGTTTTCGATTACGAGACTTAATATAGTTATTATTTATAATTAATCATTTTTATTATTTATAATTAATCATTTTTAAATAAAATGATTAATTGATATATTATATGAACCATTTTAGAAAAATTTAAAATCTTTAAAAGCTGTTTTATATAAAATGATCGCGTGGAATACTTGAATTGTGGGTAAACGGGATCAAATTGGATGAACAGACTCAGATACGCTAAAACGGAAAATACATCGTAGATTGTGTTTTTAAGATATATATACATAAAACATAGATGTTATAATGGAAGTCTGGTTAATTGTGATGATAGCTGTAAATATATTTGGATTGTGGCCTAAGAAGTTTTAGTTTCTATATGGAACAATACAAAATCTAAGTGATATTTTGATTTAATTCTGTTTCTTTTTGTCTCATCTTTTTTTATTCTTAGTGATATCGTTTTCAACGGAAATATAGAATTCCTGTTTGCATACGTATGTTTTGATAAAAATAGATTACCGCTGGCAAATAGTAGAGTCTGGAAATAAATATGAATTTTCGAGAAAATTTGTATAGAATAAAAAATCTTTTATTTCATTGTTTTAATATATATATCGATAAGAGGATTTTACTATTCTTAATAATAGAAAAAGATTACATTAAATTGCTATTAATTTGTTTAGTTAAATTTGGAATTTTTTAAATTTATTTTCAGTTAAGTTTGTTATTTCTTATATTTATATTTAAATTTGTGCATAAATATTTTTTTATAATTTTAAGTAATATAATAAGTAATATATAATTATTTTCATAAACATGTAGTAGCAAATATAATATCATCTTCTTCCTTATTGTATTAAAACAGTCGGGATAATATAATTCTATGTATAATTTTTTATTAGAAAAGTAATGTTCCAATTGTTATCTATTGAAATTTTTTAAATTATGTTA